TTCACTGTTGTGGTCTTGGCCATGATGGAGCTCATCTGTGCCAAACAAATTTATCTTGGTCCCATCTGACCAAAACATGTGCTCCCAGTATTCATCAGGCTGCTCTTAAGCAAAGTTTAATCTCGCAGTTTTGCACTAAGGAGCAAGCGAAGGTTGACTTCTTGGATGTCGTCCATTGAAATTGACCTTACGCAGTGTCCTTCACACCTCTGAGCTGTAACAGAAACACAGATTTCCATTGATAGCTGCCATGCCAACTCTGAAGCACTTGCCTGTTTGGTTTTCAGAGCTAAGTTGTGCAAGTAGGACACTGTTTTTGCCGTTTATTTAGGAAGATGATGACTACAGGTCTGATTAGTGGTATTATGGCAGGTTCTGTAACTCTTGATTCCTGTTGCAACCGTAATTTGACAGATTTTTAGTTGGTCATTGACATTCCTGCATCATTTCCAATCTTAGTGATCTCTTACGATCAGATTTCTATATTCCTCTCTTTATATTGTTTTTTAATGTGGAGCCATTATGAAGGCTTGCAAATAGACAAAGCACATATGCCCAAAATGGAGAAGCTTCTGGTGTTCACAGGTCATTTTATAACAATTTTCATGCAGTTAGGTATCACAACAAAAATAATGATACCATTTTGAATCATTTAACATTTCGGTGATAATGCTGTATCTGGTACAATGCCGGTGGAGGGCAGACATTCACTGCCAGTGGTGACACCAGCTCAACTGTTCCTATGTAAACCACAAATCACCTGTACATGAAGAACACGACCCAGGATACCGACCTACCAGCGTGACTGCTGCCTGGTGCCAGGGTTTTCTATGAGCTCTATTTCTGTACGCTGTCAGCGCAGATGCACAGGAAAAACTAATGGGAAACAAATCCAGACAGGCTGTTGGAGATATAATATGTTTGTATGAGTCATTTCCAGTCATTTGGTTTGCCAAACAGGCTTTCCGATTGAGGAAAACAATGGAGTCATTTATTATGTTCCGCTTGTTGCACTTTTCCTCCATCTTTTTCTCTTGACGGTTCTCCAAAACACCATCACGTCTCTTCTCTCTCCAACCCCTGTTCTTCCACCTTTGTTTCCTTTCCTGCCCCACAGTCTCCCCGTTTCCCTCGTCCTCTTTTCTTTAAGCGTGTTTTTCTTTCAGATGTGCCCTGCTGCCTCCCCGCCCTTCTTCCTCCCCCTCCTGGTTGAGAACGGGTGACATTTCTAAAGTTGACAAATGTCCTGCTGAAATGACATGGAATCACTCAGCCTTTCTCCCACATGAGACCACATGTATTCATTGTAACACATCTGCTTCACCTATCACAGAACGGCCTCTATGCACATTACATAGCAACCCCTGAGGCCTCTTCATATCTTAAACTGTACTAACATGGTTGTCTTTTTGTGTATAGCAGTTGTTACCTGTGTGGTTGCTCACACAGTAGTTCACCAACGGAAAATAATAGGGTTGTATATTTAGATTCTACCACTCCAAGGTGGTAAACAGCATTTGTTGTCTTTTTAAAACACATTATCAGTTGTTTAGATGGAAACAAACTCAAAAACTAACATGCTCAGAACCTGGTTTTGTAGTTAATAGTGACTTTCACCCACAATTTTTCTATTTGTTTAAATAGTGTATTGTTTAAAAAAAAAAAAAAAGTAAGAAAATACACATTTCCAAAGGTATGTAACACAAAAGCAGCAACCGTTATCATTGGACAAGCTGGAAGAAGATACTATATGCATTTTTCATTATTTTACCATGACAAATGACTAAAACATGCAGTGATTACCTTTATGACAGTCCACCAATAAATTGTTTCCACTCTAATAGCATTTGGCTTCTCTTCTGTTCAGCCAGCAGACATGAATATCTCAGTCCTACAGTCTCTCTAGTAATCCTGGTAATTTGTTACATTTATGTAGACAGTGACTGCTGTCAGCTAAAATTTCTAACGTTAATATATGATTTACCCAAATTTAAAAAAAAAGCAAAACAAGGATAAATGGGCACCTAACTTTAACTCACCCGTTAACACCAAGTTAGAGAAAAAGGCGTAACTGTCACAGACTGAGGGGTGAGAGAATGTTGTGGTCTGGACAAAGAGTGACATCTAGTGGTGACAAAAGACAAAATTATGTTGTAGTTTTAAATAATATCATCTAGTCAGTTAACATCACACTGGCAAAGCACAGATTTTATGATGTTCAGTCCAATGCAGGTTGTTATGGCTTTGTGAGCAATATATAGAGTTACCAAGGGCACCATGAAGAAAAGCACATTCTGTTTTCCAAACACCACAGAGCAGCAAACATTAAAATCCTGCACATGGCTGTTCTCTGTACAGCCACTGAAGTCCCTGAATGGTCAAATTAGGTGTCCCACAGTGTTTTTGATGATTGATGCAGTTTCCGTGTCAAAACAAGACTTGATGCACAGTAAGTTATAGACAGTGACATATTAGGATCATTCTTTGGTATTACAATAGTATGCATTTTCAAATATCTGACCTGACCTTAAAAATAGAGAACATCTTTGTCTGCCATAAAGTATATTCAATCTTTCACACTTCCTGCCATGTATAAAGAGCTCTCTGTCTCAGCTTGATGGCAAATAATTTCCCCAATCTCTCTCTTGGCCACGCTTTTGGAGTTTCAGTCTCAACTCGTTAGCATGTTTGGCCTGAGGACCAGGATTTACAAATCCTTCTTGCACCGAGTTGGCTCCAGGGCCAAGACAACTACGTCACCCAGAATCCCCAGTGGTGGCCATTACTCAAAACTATTCATACAACATAGAGGCTGAGCAGAATGGGAAAATGATTTCAACATTGCTGAGAGCGAACAGCTGCAGCTTTCTGCTGTTGGACGATGACAGATTTCCTTTTCTCTCTTCCTCTCACTCAGTCCTTCTCATTTCACTCTCTCGTCTCTGTTTTTGTCTTCATTTTTCTTTTCACTTCTTGTCTTTTACTTGATTTTTCTTTGTCTTTGGGTCTGCTTGTCTCTCTCTCCCCGTTTCACTCTTTATTCCAGTCTCTTTGCACCTCCTTTAAACACACACTCACACAACAGTGCATGCAAACACACACATGCGCTATACACAGAATTACACACAAGGGAGCCCAGCTTTAAAAATACATTCCCAAGAATATTAGTCCAAGGAATTTAAATAGGCCCTTTTCACATTTCAGCTTTTAAAAAATGCTACCATGCTGTTCGTTAACCTACTGGAACAAAGCGTGTGTGTGTCTGTGTGTTTATACAGTACGAAAGTACGAACTGGTTGTGTCCAAATGTCACCACAAGAGCTGGTATCCAAAGGTCACGCTGTAAAGCTGTCATTTGTGAGCAAGAATTAAAGTTGGAAGTGTAATTTTCTGTTATTTTAAGGTTGGAAGATCAGCATTTCGGCTGAGTTGTTAGCTGTTAAAGATGTGTTTGTAACGTTACTGTATCTCTAAATAACCGCACAACTGTGGAAATCGGTGCCCAGATGGAAAAGCCTGCAGATTAAATGACCTGTGGCATTTAGTGAAAGTAAAAACTGCTCATCTGTTGCACACTTTAAAGTAGCACTTTAAGTAGGTTGTGTGCTTCAATGCACATGCACGCAAAAACAATCTGCAAAAACGCCTTTTAGGGTATAAATCTGAGAGCATTTAAGTTATGGTATAACTGTATGAGTCTAACTCCTCCCCTTTCTGTCTGCTTGCATGTTGGTTTGTGAACATGCTTGCTTGTGCATGCACTCTATGTGTGTGTGTCTGTGTGTGTTAGTGGAGCCACATCTGGAAACAATAGAGGAGTAGATGCTGTCACTTTCCCTTTACCTCAGGCTTTTGAGTGTGTTCTTAAACAAACACTCAATTCACTCACAGTAAATTACAGGAAGGCAATCTGAGCTGCAGACTTAGATATTTGGACTCTCGTTTGCACACATGCACACATGCACACATGCCCACGCACACACTAACAGGCCCAGAATTAATCAGTTTCTCCAGATGCAATTTTTGCCCCTGCACTAGTAATTTACAGCCTAACTTGTATTAAGTCCAATTGTACAACCACATAACACTTCTTTTTGAATTGAGAATCTGCGTGTGGTTCTGCAAATGTTTTTGTGTGTCTTGAGAATGTGTGTGTGTGTGTGTTGGGGAGGCTTTAAGTCCTTAGCTGATGAGATGTGATTGATGGTACAGTCAATGTTTACACAGCATAATCAGCATGTTTCCACTGTGGATTCAAAACAAATTTCGTGGTTATAGAGCGTTTCTTATCGTAACCCCAAGTAAGTGTGAGAAAGAAACGTGAAAGACATCAAAACAGAGTCACTGTTGTATAGATTTGTTAACAAAGTTATGAGGCTGCAAACTGCTGTTAAAAAGCATTAGTGCCTGGTGAAGCGCCAAAACTCAATTTGTCTCATCAGACAAGAGGTGGCAGCATTGTTCAGTCCAGTAAGTGAAAACACCTCTGAGGATGTGTACAGATGATTTACTACGTGGCTGCAGAACATGCATTCATTCAGTCGCATTCAGTGTAAGCTTAACTACTCCATGGCGGCTTCTCATAGGGATGGAAATGTCTATACATGACACATTGATGCAGGATTTCACATTCATCTCAAATCTGCTGCTCTGATACTGTATGTTTTTTAGATGTTAATTGTATGTAGAGCAATTCACTGTTTCCGTCCACCAATACTAACAAACATTCTCTCGTTAAAGCTTTGCAAATGTAAAGGTTTTTCATCTGTCTTTGTCTTATTTTGTAGCAAACTGAGCATCTAAAGGTTCTGAAATGTTGGTTGGGGAAAAAAGGACATTCGAAGATCTTTACTTCAGCTTTAGGAAACTGGAATGATATTTTTTTAATGACTTTCTGATGTATCGACCAAAAGGTTAGTCAGGTAGGTCCAAAAGAATAAAAAAAGAACGAGTAAAAATGAAACTAATGAGCTGCAAAACAGACACTCGTGCACTCACTGTTATAATCACAACAACATATTGGAAACCAAAAAGTTTTTATTTATCTTCTTCTGATACAAAAGTGTTTTTTTTAAATAACAAACAAGTTTTAACATTTTTTGTCACGTTGTTTTTTTACACGGATAAATTAGCAATCTCTTTATAATACATCGATGACATTGTCAAGACAAGCAGTTTTCTACACGAGGGAGCAGTCTAGACCTTAAAGGCTACGATCAGCGTCGGTGAACTGATCCCAGCAGTGATTCATGTCTGGGTTTCTCAAAAAAGCATTTACAAAACCTGCACCACCAGTGGTCCTCGATCTTTAAGCGTGGCACAAACTCACTGTGTTTCAAGGCACATTCTGTGATTGTTTTGAAATGTCACCTGAAGCTCAGTGTGGTCATGCAAGAGGAGACAGCCAAAACCTTAAGACAGCATGAGGGGGAAACTGCATTAGCTCAGAGGGGAGGTGGTCAGAGGTTAATTTAATTCACTTAAAGTGAATGTAATGTTTGTTTGACTTTGGAAATTTAATACATGTGCCAACGTATGCTGGTCTGAGAAACACTTTTTTTCAGGGTTCTAGGTTTCACCAGAACCACCAAAAGCACCTCTGAATGCAGAAACAGTTATATTTAACATATTTTTTGGGAAAAGGCAACCCAAGAATGATTTTCTGTCCCACTCTAAACTTTGAGCTCAAAAATAGATGTGACAGGCTGTATGAGGCACTACCTGGTTACAGTTGACACACAGGAGGAAAAAGCTCTGTATTATTCAAGCTCTACATTTCAATTTTCCAAAATGAGATTAATCCTTATTCTACTGAAATATAGAAGGCGTAATATTATACAAAGACTCACTGAAACGCAAGAGCTTTGATGGATAGATTGTCAGGCAAACATTCGGTACACAGGAGCAGAATTTGGTGAATGCAGCAGTAAGGCAGGATAAGTCAGAACCAGGACCTTTGCTGTATTTAAAGCTTGCAGTTATTGAGCGGACCTGCAAGACTGAAATGGTGAGAAAGGCCTACTGTTAAAATGCAGTGCCAGAGATAATAAATGGAGATCTCATCTCCATTACTCGTGAAATTTTGAAGTGTAATGTACAAAAATCTCTTCCAGGGAGGGCTTGATTGTCTGGGAAATGAGCCTTGATGTATCAGATGAGGTTAAAAAGACAAAGGCTGGCAGGGGATAAATGAGAGCATCAGATGGATATTAATATGCCAATTTCATTGTGCTGCTTCTGTGATGGTCTTAGTGGACAAAACACATGCACACAGACTGAAAAGAAAGGCAGATAAAAATTGACAGAGGTGCTCTCGTGTTACTGTTATTTCATTACCTGCAGATACTGATCACAATGTAGGCGAGTGGATACAATTTGTGGCAACTGATTCCTATGTGTGTGTTTATGCATGTACAGTACTGTGCAAAAGTTTCAGGCACTTTACATGTTTTTATCCATCACATAATATCAAGTTAGTCTTTTGACTCGTTCAAAATCCATTCTGCAGCATGACAACAGCCACAAACTTACAACAAGGGTCATAAAGAAGTACTCTCAGTGACTAGAAGTTCTACAACAGATGCTGTGGCCCCCACAGAGTCAGTCTGGGGTAACATGAAGAGACGGAAGCGACTGACACTGCCTAAATCCACAGAAGACCTGTGGCAAGATGCTTGCAACAACCTGATTAATGCCTTGAAAAACTTTGCACAAATATACTTAGGAGAATTGGTGCTATTTTTAAGGCAAAGGGTGGTCACAGCGAATAATGATTTTAGGTTTTGTTTGCTGTTTGCTGCCCTCAGTATCAAGTTAAGTAAAACAACCAAAAATTAACGGTGGCATTATTTTTGAATCCTCAATGTACTTAAATCCTCAAATTTTTGCATTGTACTGTATCTGCATGTGCACAAGTTATGGCAGCCCTTTTGCTGTTGCAAAGTGTGTATTTTGGCAAGTGATTGTCTAATAACTTCTAACTCTTTAACCTGCCCTGGTTCCAATATTTGGAAAAGAGCAGAGGGAATAATTCAATTTCCTGGATTTCATGGTAACTCAACAGCATGTACAGTTCTGGGTTTCCAGGAAAACTGCACACATTTGAAATTAGCTGAGCTTCTTATTGACTGCTCAGAGCCTACATTTCCCAGATGCCTCAGTGCTTCCAAATGCATGGGGCAATAAAAGGCACAGCTGGTACTCCTGGGATTCATAGTGTAGTATGACAACCTCACACATAATCTCTCATTGTGTTGGCTTCACAATAAGAATGTGTTTGACGTTCACGTTTGAACACTAGAAAGTTATTTTTCTGTCGCGTCCATAATGACAACTGACCAAACTCTCCCTGTTAATGGCTGTGCGTATTAATGTGCTGTATACTGACTTGTTATCAGTCCCACCACTGCTGTCCCTACCCTTCACATATTCTATAGCTATAGTGCATTATTCCAGTATGAAGCTGGTTTCCCAAAAAAATCTGACCTCCTATTTAGTATTGTACAAAAGGTACTATTCCCCAAAATGCAGAATAATGTAGTTCAAATATAGACAGATATAAGGCAATATTTCAGATTTTCATTACACTTATGGTACATGTCCACAGGATCTGATTTTAACACAATACTCAGTCATTGTCTATATAAGCAGCTGTACAATGCATTCTGGTAGCGCTGTGCTGTGTTTCAGCTGATGGAGTGTCAGACTGGCTGCTTCTCATTTGCATAAAGTTGAAGTCTAGACTACTTTATGCAACTCAGGTGCGTCGAGGTTAGGCCCCTGTGGACACATACCATTAGTCAGATTATTTATTATCTAATCTCAGTGTAAAAGGGGCTTTCAAGGAATCAGATGCTTTTGGGAAACTTCAGCCTACACCTGTATAATATTTGCTCCAGTGTAAAAATTAGAACTTCAAAAGACCCTTAAAAGATCCAACGGCATTTGGGTTTGCTGTATCCAGCAGGTTCAGTCTCTTCTGCTGAGGGCTCTGGCGAAAAGAGAGACAGAGAGGTAGACGTGGTGCCACGCAGCTTATTGGTGTGTCCGGTCTGCATCTTGATTTTGTGTCTGATCTGCCCTTTCCGTCTCTCTTTTTCGTTTTCTTTTTTTTTTTTGTTGCTTTCTCCACCTCTCTGGGCAAAGGAAGTCTAACAGAGGTAGAGAGGCTACTGTTGCTACTACTGTATGACTTAGTCCTCCTCTTTCCTCCTTATCCCATGTTAGTTAGGGACTGTCGGGGAGCTTTTGTGATGCCATTACATCCAGAAAGTCCTGTATCACATTTTTTATCTCCCTCTCACCTCTTGAATCTCTGACCTCGCCATCCTTCGTTTGGCAGAGCGAGTGTCAACGAGAGAGAAGCTTGCAGAACTTCATTCCTGTCCATTTTCTCTTTTCTTCCTCCTCAAACCACTGTCTCGTTGCCTTTCCCTGGTTTGATCCAGCCCTCACCCGGTGCTCTCTTGCCACCTCGGCTAGCCCTGCTGTCTCTGAGCAGGCGGGCAGTGCAGCGCTGCCAGGTGTGAAGGGTTTTCGCTGACCAGATCCACATGCCTGATGTGATGCCAACAAGCAGTGACATGAAGATTCGAAGCATCTCTGATGCCACATATGAGTCCCGGGTGCTGGCCCTGAACTCTCCCCAGTGAGAGAGCTGGTAGAGGTAACAGCCAATGACAGTGGATGCTGGTACAGTGTAAAGAACGGAAAAGACTCCGATCTTCACCATTAAACGCTCCAGCTTGTCTGTTTTGGCACCGTCCTTCTGCAGATTGGAGCGTATCTTGAAAAGAGCCACAAGGCCCGCACAGATGAACAGAGTGCCTGAGGGGCAGGAAGCAGACAACTGTCAGTTGGACCATTGGATGGAGAAAACATATTGACAGATGTATAAAATAATCAAAGAACTCAGAGCCTGAGCATGATTAAGACATAACAAGGGATCTGTGTTGATAAAATATGGGCATAAGTGCACTAGTTTATGCAGAAAGTTGTAAAATCACATATAGATAAATTTTATGATTATGTTATTACCTATGAGGAGGTATGTGGCCAGTGGTGCCACCACAAAGCCTGTGAGGGCCTCCTGCTGCTGGTTGCCAACATAGCACAGCCCAGTCAGGTCATCTGCATCCACCAGTCTCATGATGAGGATGACGATGGTTTTAACAGCTGGGATGGCCCAGGCTGCTATGTGGAAGTAGGAGCTGTGCATTTCAATAGCCTCATGGCCCCACTTCAGTCCAGCAGCCAAGAACCAGGTGAGAGTCAGGATCACCCACCTGGAAGATGGAGCAAGAGGAGTGAGATAAGCAGCAAACCCTCCTCATGTGCACAATCATCAGATTATCTTCCTCGTTTTTACAGTGAATAGAAGTCACGATTCCAGGAAACTCGACACTGAGGCAAATACTGGGAAAATACTGATCACTGCTGGAGCATCTCAAAACTTTGGCAATGAAAAAGCTGCATAAAAGGCAATCAGGTGGACACGTGCAGTCCTCTGATAAAATAAAGTTATCATGACACCAGATAGTCAAGAGCGACAGAACACAGGGCTGTGATCATATCATAGGAAAGAGTAAAATCTTTGGCCTAATTCTTTTCCAAATGGGGAAGAATGAAGACAAACAGGAAAACAAGGGTCAAGTGAAAAGGAAGAAAAAGAGCTGCGACAGCACTGTCTTTCCACTCCAACTTGAAAAAATGAACTTTTACCTTTTACATGCAGGGAAATTAATCCAACTAGTACAGAGGTTATGAGAGAGGATGGTTTGATTTAAAAGAAAACAGGATGCTAAGTCTCGTGTTCCAATTGTTCCACCAAAGGCCATTCACAACAACGTCTGACAATAGTCGAACTGGGACAAAGAGCTGAAGGATTGATGCGATTAAAAGGTGTGTGCGTGTCTGTGTTTGTTTGTACAAACCAGAGTGAGGAGGCCATGCCAAAGAAATAGAGCAGGAGGAAGACTATGGCACAGCCGGTGCTCTTTAATCCTTCTTGTACCAGAATTGGCACCGCTGCCGCATCCAGGTCACAGGAAACGCGCTCCCTCCCGAGAGTCAGTCGTACCTAGAAAATGAGACAAAAGGGAAAGGAGGTGTGGCTGAATTAACACCAGTAACGGACAAAAGGAAGCATCATCTTTCCTACTTAATGCAACCAGAGGAGAAGCTGTATGATGTCCTCTGAAAATCCTCCACTATTATTGAAGTGTGGCATCATTATTTAAAACAGAATCATCAGATTTTCAACTTCCTGATGGTTCTTCAACATCAATGACATACCACTTCTTTGGAAATATATCCTAAATCTAGGCCTTAAGTCATGATATTTGTTAAAATTTTATTCTACATGTCTCAGTTTAAAAACCTCCTAAGAGGTGACACCAGAGAGGAAACCCTTTACACTCCTCAGTGCAATCACAACCCCACAAGGGACTAAACTGCAACCAACAGTCATGTAACTAAAATTCAGGGACTTATCGGCTGAACTGAGCATCAACACGCTTGATGACTTGTTGTAAAGTCACTTTATTCATTCTACCCAAACTACTTAAGTGAAACAACAGTCCCCTTCTTACCAGGTAGGCAACACTGTACAGATTGCAGCACATGGAGAGAAAGATGATGGGCCTCTCAGGGTAGGAGAAACGCTGCGAATCCAAGAGAAAGGTCAGGACTGTCAGAGTGGTTGACAGGAAGCACAGCACGGCCCAAACTGCCATCCATGCATCTGTGAAGACTTTGGCCCCTCGCCGGTAAAGCCCACTGTCGTAGCCACACTGCAGAGTGCAGCTCTCAGTCTGTTTAAACCAGGTGTACTGGTCTGGAGCAGATCCCAGGGCCTGACACTCCTCCTGGTGGGGAGGATGGCGGACCTGCGGGTAGGGCGTGTCCTCATCCCCCGGACCCTCCATACACATGTGGTTGTGGTCGTTTTGAGGAGGGAAGAGGCTGCAGTTCAGCACCTAGAGAGGACGCATGATGAGAAAACAGCATTTTGGTTGCTCATCATGACTGTTTCTTGTAAACTTTTTCTTATGTTCCATTCATTTTCCACAACCACATCCTGAAGTTGGCAATGCAGGATGTTCTTGCGATGATGTGACTCACCTCAGGCCAAATGAAGCCAAACTCATTGAGCACAGGGAGGCATTTCCTCTTGACAGACAGACACATGCTGCCGCATGGACCGATGGGAATGGGAACCTTGTCCGTGCACATCGGCACATAAACCGAGCATAGGAAGAACTGGAGAAAAAAGAAAATAAAGGAAGACAACTTTAATATTTTGCTCGCAGTTTGTGTAACTGAATTTTGCAAACTATATATACTGTGGTGAGACTTCAAAGCATCTAATAAAGACAGAGAAAAAAAGCAATGTCACAGAAGTGATATAATAAGCTTTGACTGGTGGTGCTGCAAATGTGTTGAATTGTTGTAGGAGCAGTGTCCTGTGTGTAGCAGCTGATTTCTTTTCTAGAGAGAAGTGAGCGAAACAAACATACTGCCGAGTGATGTAAGAAGAGTGAAACATAACAGAGTAGTAAAACCGATATAGACACTGAAAGTGCAGTAACACTTGTACAATGTTGTGTTGTATTTCGTCGTACTGCTTTGTAGACTTTGATCCACTTCAGTTAAATCAAACTGTGAAGCAGAAGGTAAATTGTGTCAGTGGTGAAGTGCTTGTTAAAGAGGTGGAAACAGTGCGGCGAGTACCCTCTGGGCCAATCTTTCTGTATATTACAACAGGATTACAGCTGCTAGATGGCTACACTGTGTACTCCCACATGTGGATCCTCCATCGACTCGCATATACCTCTCAGTATCCTGCTTCTTTGTGCCCATAACTTTCAATACGTTGCATCACTGCTTCTATTGGTAGGTCTCTATTTTCAATACTAATAGGAAACTCCACAACTTAAGTCACGACAGCCAACGCTAACCTGCTCCAAGGTTTCACATACAAGTCTGCATCTTTAAAAACAATCTGTGGACTTAACAACACTGAGGGCATGTGCCATGTAATGCTGCATAATCCCCCTAATCCGAGGCTCAGTTTTCTCTGTCCCATGGCAATGGTTTTGAAATAGATATCAAGTCAGGGTTACAAAGATAGTAGACAGTCTGAAGTCGCATTTGACTACTGAGGTGGTGGTGATGTGAGAGAAGAAGTACTCTGGGGTTACAGGAGGTAGCAATTTTAAGTGATTTCACGCATTTACAGCGAAATCTGTTTGAAGCCAGAGTGTAAAATTGTGCCAGCCTCATGATATGAAAATACATAGAAGCAAGAAAGAATATTTTTACTCAGCTACCTTGAGATAAATGAAACAAAACATAGACTCCGGGCGCTTGGACTCAGTGGTAGTGGGAAAATATGTGTCAGAGTGAAAGGGTTTGCTTCTGTTTTTCATTTTAAAAACATCAAAATACGTATAAGGCTGTAAAAAGATTTAGAATGCTGTGGGCTTGCAGCCTTACTCCAGTGACAGACAAACCCCAGCTTGAAATCAGCCCTTGAACGGAGCCCAAATGAAACCTGAATCCAAGACTGGTGTCAAGGTTGGGAAAGAAATACACAGGGAAATGTTAAACAACTGTTGCTGTCTGTGGGAATTTATTTGCAAAGTAAACAGAAAAAATTGTGCATCTGTGCAGCATGTCATGTTTGGGATATGAAATTTACAGCCACAATAAATAGACTGAATAACTGAGCTTCTGTTCTTTTACACCTAAAGTGAGAGACTTTATCCGGTGATTATGAGTATAAAATGTAACACAGTAAGTCCTCACTGTGGAGCTGTGAGGAACTATGCAACGGCAAAAATCTTTATCGGAGAAACTTTAAACTCAATTTGTTCTCTGATCTGTATCTGGGTTGTAGTGCGGCTTTATCTCTGCGCATTGAGCAGACTGGAGACTGTATTAAGTTTCGCACCACAAACAGAGAATGTTTGTTCCTCAAATTTACAGCAGGTAGGTTGTCTTGTGTGATTTGTGGGTTGATGAAATGAAATTAACATGGTTATCCTGAGTCTGTGGGAGCGTTTTAATGCGTCTGCTCATACAATAACAACAGTTTGTGTAAGCTGTAGATATTAAATTACCTGTAATACAATTTCTAACACTTCCCACAGTGAGTAATGCATACTGAACCCGTGACAGTCGTGTAACACATTCTGGGTGTTTTCCCCCGACCGTTGGTAACCTGAGTGCTGTCACTTCTCTGCTAAAAGCTGCTCCGGTTACTAGTCAGGAAGCCTCCCATTAGAGCAAATGTTAGACGATACGGTTTCTCTTTCCCCTTTCTCCCTCTTTAGCATGTGTGTGTGAGGGAGAGAGAGGGGGAGAGAGAGACTGGGATGTCAGCTAAACTTACAGGACAATTTACAACTGGAGGAAGACAGTTCAGTTTTATGCCACAGTTGCTCCTCATTCTGTCTGGTTGTCATGTCTCCTAAGCACTGTATTAATTTAACATGCCAAAATATTTTTTAGCCCTCTTCCCAAACAGCTGCACACACCAATAACTCACTGTTACACTGTAATAAAACAGAACGCGGACAGGACGGCGAGCCTGCAAACCTAACTTTCTTGGGGAGGTTTTCAGGTCTGCGGATGTCCAGGCATGCTTAAGTGTGTGTCTAAGAAAATGGGTGTTTTTGGAAAAAGTAAACACCATTCACTACAAAAATATGTCCTCTCTGTGGTGTCATTACAATTATAGTGTAAAGCCAAATCTCAGACACACATAATGAGACCAATCGATTTTTTTTTCTTACATGGTGCATGAGCCAAACAAGCTGCATTTTGTCTTAGGACACTGAGGGCACCATTGTGAGCAGGGAGACATTACAGTATATTAGCAGTGAGGATTCAGCTGTTGCTGTGTGGGGCATGAACTCAGAATGTCAACAGACAGAGGGGGCATTTTCAATGAAATCAGCATGACAGCCTGGCACAACAGGAAGGAAGGAAGGAAGGAAGGAAGAGAGGGACCCATCCATTTATCTTAACTTCATGGGACTCAACCTATATTATGCTGCTCATTATCTCTGGCACCATCAGTCTGAGCTGCAGTTATTGCTGGTAGCTCCCTGTCATGTGCTCTGGGACCACACTCTGCTCCACTGTCTCTCTTTGCGCACACACACTCTCACAGATTTAGCAGACTTTCTAGACTTAGCCAGGCTTTTTCTGGAAGCAGGACCACTGATCCTAAATTTGAGCCTCCGCTGTGCGCTTTTAATAAACATCCTGGCTACTCTTGTTTGCGGTGCCACCGGCTTCGGATCTCGTCTTTACCTTGAGCTGGCTGGAGCAGCCGTACTGGATGAGCGGCGTGAACGTGGTCAGCTGCAGCTCCGCGTCCGACTGCAGCACGTTGCCGACCAGGTTGGGCATCTTGGTGACGTTGTAACCCAGACCCTGGCACATGCTGATCCGGATCGGGTCGCAGGTCATCTCCTCCACCTCGTCGCCGAACGCCGTCACCACCGCCACGCACAGCGGACCCACCAATCCGGACAGGAGGAGCAAGGCTGACACCATCATCCCGGGCATGGTCACCCTGGCGCTGCCCTCTGTCAACTTGTTGGCACAGTGGTTATCTCCTCAAAAAAAGAAAATGCTGTCAAAATAGGTCGCCTTGGGAAGCCCAGCAGTAGTCCAGCAGCGCACGCAGTCCGTGCGTTCTCGGAGGCTACAGTATCCAACTCTGAGCCATTCAGTAGATTCAAATATCCAGAAATCTGCAGCGGTGAAGCATTGCCAGATCTGTGCGTAATCAAACGCGCGTGATTTCAGTTAAAAAATACATTTTTGATAAATCCTGGAGTCCTCTCTTGGTTCGATTCCCGTTAATAACTCCGTGTGGTTGGAAAAAAAAAAAAGCGCAGCGCACCGACGGCATACAGAGGCTCTGGTTTTGCGCCTATACTGCCTGCAAGCGTCCAGCACTAAACTTTATTGTGTCTGTGAAGAGAGACTATTTTCCCCGTCCAGAGAGGAGTCGACCAATCCATGCGCGGGAGTTGGGTTTCCCTGACCAACCCCTGGCCAGGAGGGCGGGATCCGAGAGAAAAATAGAAAAGCGAGCCACCTCTCTTCCCCTCTGCCCCCTGTTCTCACCCCCCCCTTCTCTCCTTCCCCTCAGTATTTTGCCTTCTCCTGTCTCATTTCCCCTTTTTCATCCTCTTTCTTTCTCAATCCTCTCCTCTTTTCCTCCTGCAAAGAAAATCAGTGAGCATTCCCTCAGCTAATTCTGACAACATCCAGAACCTGTGTTTAAACCAGCTGATGTGGCTTACATTTATTTTTATTGGCTGTATTTTTAGAAAAAAGAAGAAAAAAAACACATCTGAAAAGTGGATTTTTTCACTGCGTATTTGTGTGCGTGTTTTCATTTTAAATTTAAAGTCCCTAATGGTCTTTTTAAGGCCGTCTGGATCTTCACCACAGGTTCCACTCCCCTTCTCTAAAAGGCCCGTCAGCTCTAAGTGCTCATGACATTGTAATTGAAAGTAGGGCCTTAAGTGATGCTGAAGCATTGGAAATCTGTTTTGCATTGCAATGAATGCACATACTGGACAGGTTTTGTTTGCTCGTGGCACCCGGGGAGAAGGTTTCTCTTTTACAGCATGAAACTAGCAGTGAAGAGTGTTGTTTTGGCTTTTCTGCGTTGGAAGTGGACTTGGGTGAGAAAGTGCTTGGACTCATTGCAAATACTTTGGGAGGAGGGAAGCTTAAGCAACACTTGATTTTTGTTTTCTTCCAAGCAATTTGTACAATTCCGAGACTCTTAAAGCATCTGTCAGGTGTAATCAAACTCAACCTAAGAGCTTCACAGATCTTTTTAAAGTATTGCAAATACCTGAATCTGTATCCGGACGGAGCTTCGCCCTGAGTTTAGATTAAGTTTTAAAAGAGCTGCAATTTCATTTGACCAACAAAGACATGGGCAGTGGGAATCCTTTACCAGTGATTCTGTTCTGTTTTAATCTTATATTTACACACACACACACACACACACACACACATTTATATATGCATCTTTCAAGTAATAAGGAAAAATGGAATAGAGGTTCAGAAACACTTTATTGATCCCGAAGGGGAAACTGCTTCTGTTACAGTTGTACAAAGCCCACAGACATTAACAACCGATACAGAAAGAGACGAAGGCAGACAAGGCCATTCAAAATGACGGTTTAAATTGTAGCTTTATGATAAACTTAGAAGTGGTTTGATGGGGAAAATAGACCAGAAACTGAGCAAGAAATAATTCTGTGGATCAACAGTCAAACAAGTTTTGTACATCTAACATTGTTCCATATCTGTTTCTAATGTTGGACTTGTTGATTTTTGTGTACCACATGAACATATCAGCAACTTCATTGTGCTGCTGCGTTCACCCTCCTGGATTACGCTATAATGTGAAGCTGAATCCACTGTGACAATTGATTGGCAGCACCAATGACCTCTTCATCAAGCCACACCAACCCCCAGCACACACACTTCTCTCAGGACACACTCACACATGCTTGTGCACATACTCACATTTAACCCCCCCCCCCCCATTTGCTGCTCCTCAGCTGAACCTGGGGTCAGGACCTAAAGTAATTAGCACTGAGCTGAAACAATAGAGTGTGCGCCTTGGAGCTGATGGTTATCAGGGGAGTGGTGTGTGTGTGTGTGTGTGTGTGTGTGTGTGTGTGTAGGTGTGTGTGTGCAGATGCATGTGAAAGAAAGAAGTGAATGGATTGGAATGGGAAGTGGAGAAAGACCAAACTTCAGGAGCAAATTTTGATTTAAGGAGTTGTAAGTATTTGAGATAAATACCTAGAAACTGAGTGTGAGGTAAGAAGCTGCAGCAGCACATTATCAGCCACTGACGCACTCCATCTCCTCTGCTTACTTTCACAGGTGAGTGTGAATAGCAGGGTTGTGCATACAATGTGTTGGAACTGACAGACTAATGAGCATCACACTGAGTAGATAATGAACACAGTTACTTTTCAAGCCATAAACCTGCTGAGTTAACAATAGGACAACAGACTTTTGCATTAAAGCTGACATTCCTGAAGTGAGATTTGGCTGCTGAGCAAAGAAGATCTGTGTGTAACATACACAGACACAGATGTATGAATAAAGCTGATTCAGGTTTTGAGACTTGGATGATCCGGCTGCTCATAATAAATAACTGTAGAACTTTGTTTTCATGAATCCACATGTAAGGTATTTTCTTGCCATCCTACTTCTATGCGCAAACCACTTTCTGACCAAACTAGCAATCAGCTGGAGAAGGAAGTAAGGCTGCCAATATTTGGGTTACCCCAAGCATAACATAAACATTTACGCTGACTAGTTAATTGATGGTGACTGCATGGAAAACAGTATTTGAAGGCTGCAGAGGTGGGCTCTGGGCGCAGTAAATATTCAATCAAATTGTATTAAAGGTTATGTGGAAGTGGGAGTCTGGGGAATTTCAGCCATGCAAGCCACTGATGTCAGCAGTTGGACCTGACTGCAACAATAGCATGCTCATACAGTGAAGTTTCATGTTTTTTATTTTACTTTATTTTTTGGCTCATAAAGGGAATCTTTTTAATATTTGTGTCTGAAACATGTAGCATGAGGTCTGTGTGAGATTTGTTTTGCAGTCCAGTAGTGCTGATTTCCACCGCTGTAGGCCAAGTAAAAATAGCCTGGCCTTTCTAATTATCCATGCCACACAGTTTTCTTCAACACAGCATTCATGTGATTCTTTTTTACATGTTGATGCCAGCAGAAAGGACTCAATGGTGTGGTTTTCCTCCCCAAATTACCCACCCATGCTAACATTTTGATGGTTTAATGCTTAAGAGCCCAGCCTTTGGAAGGACATGTGCCCTGGCTGGCCTGGGTTCAAACCTCCCTTGAGTCTTAACTTCCCTAATCCTTAGTCTGCACCACTGCCACCTTTGTTACTTCCACAATAACAAAAAATACATGTGCGGAATTACAGATAGCACATGAGGTAGACTGGCTGGGCAAATATAATGAGTAAAAACCCCACTCTGTAGTTTAGTTCAGCTTTAGTTATCCATTAGAAAAGGAGTGGATTAGAAGAGGCTAAAAGAAATGTATGTCCTAACATAGTCAAGTCTCCTCAAGCCCTGCTGGTGTGACTGCTGCTTTAAAATGGATGCACCGATGTGGAGGCGTTGATTTATGATTATTAATAATGTAGCTTCACTTGAGCAGACAGCTGCTAAAATGAGCTACAGTGCAGGAGTGGGCAGGGCACCTGCATCTGTCCTTAATGATTTAATACCAGCTGTTCAGAATTAATTTAGATTTTGTTACTAACTTCGTCCAGCGTCATCTGTGCTGTGTTTATTTTGACACACTCAATTTGTTGGGAAAAAAAAGTACAAGATGAGTTACATAAAAACATTCTCTCATTTACAGTTTGTCTCAAGCTGCAACAGTTTATCATATGAAACTCTTTTGAAATGCCACTAAATGAAACCACTGCGGTAATAGGAGATTTTATGTCACATTGTCACAGTGCCACTCTTTATTTGAAGTATATGGTTCTCTTACATGTGGCGCACACTGCCCCTTCTTTAAATGAATGGTAAACATGTTAGATTGGCCACAGCCCTGCTGAGGCCAACTTGGTCTTGCTGTGGGAATGTAACCATGCTAACCTTTCAGCTTGGCAGGCACAGTGAAAGGCAGTACCCTGAGGACAGAAAGAGAGACACAAGTGTGTATCTGTCACCAGATAGCATCTTATGGCTCGATGCCCAATCCCCTAGTCCTTGAAGTGTGGTATTAATAGTCCTGCCAACTCCTTGGAATGGTGTGAGTGTGCATAACTGCAAATGTTCTGCATACATTGGTGTGTTGCTCAAGTTGTGTGGCTTTACTTCCGTGAATTTGGTATTTGAAACTTCTGTGCATGTGAATGTAGGTGTAGCATAGGTGTTGGGGGGGATGGGAGCTTATGTCATTATGGGGTGGGGGTGGGGGGGTGATAGAAGAGAGTTGGGGGGGTTTCTACAGGTGATCTGTTCCCTGTGGGACAGTAGGCTCATATTACTCTGTTGCAGACTACCATAAGCACAGCCACACACACTCTTCGTTAACTCTCCTCCATCCCAGTCTGGTTTCTTACTCCATCTCTTACCTCCTTACATCTCTGACTCCCTCACTGCCAGTCTCAGCTTTTAAGGTGTCAGTCAGCTGCTCTTCCTGTTTCTTTAGCTGCAGTCTTCCAAACAGCAAACTAAAATCATATTTAACATTTTGCTCTCACAATTCTCGGATTCTTAGAAGCTATTTTTGGAAAGCTATCAGCCCGAGCCTTTCCGAGAGAAGATGACTGCAGTTGCTGTTTAACATGATCAACTTTATTCTAATGTTCAGAAAAATATTCAGAAAATTGTGTTTTCAGTAGTAAATGTGTCACAGGGAAATGTGTAGCAGATGAAGTGATCGGTAATCACCAATAATCAAAATTTTAAAAACTGTTTAGATTTTTTTTCTTTTAACATCAAACTGTGACACAAGCAACAAAATAGCCTAGAAGTGAGGACTTAGATAGTCTGATGTAGACTTCAGTTATAAATCTGCCATTTCAAATGCACAATGCTTTTTCTCTTCTTCTGCTACATTCGTGTTACTGTTTTCAAAATCCCCGCTGCAGGAACACCAACAACCTCAGAGTAGCAGCTTACACACTGAAAATGACAAGTTTTGCTAGAGATTTGTATCATGCAATTAGACTGGATTGCTTGGTTCTTTTGGTGAATTAGCCACTTTAATGACAGTGCTAACCTCCCTATGTGCAAATTTTCCACTGGCACCACTGCTGCATCCTTGTCTTAGCACCACCCAAGATGTTTGTGTTTTTTATCCCCTCCCTTTGCAGTCTTACATTGCCAGC